CGGGCTCCGATGGAAGATGGGGGAGGGATGCCTGCGGAGAAACAGAGGCAAGGGTTAATGAGGGGCTCCGAGAAGGAGGCCGTCAGTGTCTGTCCGCCCCCCCACCGCCCCAGGCACCCACTGTTTCCCTCTAGGACCGGAAGAGCTGGCCCTGACCTGCTGAGACTCCCGAGGTAAGACACACCAAGACGGACAGGAGTATTGGGACCCAAGACGTGGGAGAGATGGCATTCATTGAGGCCATTACTGGTCTGAGATGTGGACAGGTGGGGAGGTGACACGTTAGAGTCCCAGTACAGCTGCCCAAACCGGCACCCTCTTAAAGGATCCAGGAGTCAGGACCACGGGCAGCTCCTTGGGGCAAGGGCTAGGGGCGCTCTAGCAGGTGACCACAGACCCGCCTCTGCCCAACCTCTGCACGTGGCTCCCACCTCAAGCTCTCAGCAGCTCTTGATGCTGGATAACGAAGTTGCTAAATAATTCACTGGGATTAATTAAACGCCAATTCGTCAATGGTATCACAGGGTAACCAGGCTAGAAAGGGGGCAAGGGAGAAAAGCCAGCCAGAACCCAGGACCCAAGCCCTCTTCATCCACACAAGGACACAGGCATCCAATCCCTTGTCTCTGAGTCCTCTCAAACCACACTCACCCCTTCCCAGGCCCCAACGCACTGCTCACCAGCCCAGGACCTTCCTGAAGCTAAATGTCTGTCACACTCGACCTCTGCTCCCAGTCCTCAACCTCAAGATTAGCTAGCTACCTGGGTTCTCTTCACCCCTCAGCTGCTCCCCCCAACCAGGCTGGGGGAGCCACCAGGAGGCAGGCAGGCTCATTTGCATAAAATTGCCTTTCTGAAATGATTACCCTTGTAACGGGCTGTCAGAGAGCAATTTATACCCCACACCGGGGAGGGGAATTTGCATCTCGTTAAACTCCAAGTCGTAATTATTTATATCCAACAACCCTCCTGAATATTGCATTGATTTTATTTTGGGGAGGGAGGGAAGGAGGTGGGGAGCAGCCTAGGAGAGAAGCAGGGAGGGGCCGAGTTTGGGAAGAGAAAAAAAACGGGGAGAAGAGGAAGGAGAGAAGCACATGAAAAGTGACAGAGATGGAAGAGTAATAGAGGAGAAAAGTGGCCTGATACAGAGAAAAGAAAAAGAAGCAGAGAAAATTGAATTCCAAATTCAAACAGCATTTGTCAAGGTCTTGGATCCTGGGCATTTTTACAAATGTCATTTTACTTAATCACCCTGAGAAGTTCCATTATTCCCATTAACCACTGGGGAAACCCATAAGGAGGAGTCCAGAGACTTGCCCAAGGTCACGCAGCCAGTCAGCAGGGACATGGGACTCAGATCTAGGTCTGTCCACTCCAGCAACTGCATAAAGGAGACAAATGGCAGAAGAGCCCCAGGAGTAGCTCAGAGAGGTGGAACCCAGAAGAGGCCAGGGCTGATTTGGAGAGGCAGGGCTTGCACGGGTGCAGTGAGGAGGCAAAGAGCTATGTGGGAGGATGCTGGGGTGTGACCAGAGAGTAAGCAAGGGCCTCCCCTAAAAAATCCACAATGGGGGGGGGTGAGCAGAATTACAGGTGGGCAGGCATGGCTGGACTGACAGGTTGGCAAAACGAAGTGGGACAGAGAGAGCCTCAGAGGCATCCGTTTGTGGTGTTTAGAGAGCTGCTCCAAGGGACTCCCAAAGCCCAGCTCTCGGGTCCTTTCTGGCCCCTGTGACTGCTGCCCTCCCAACCCTTCAGGCTCCAATGAGGCCCCAAGTGTTCTGCCTCAGTGCCCCTCCCAAGGCTGCCCCTTCCGGAGATCCAGGCAGGCAGCCCCCACTCCCTACAAACACTGACTGGGTTATATATAGCTTTGCCACTGCCTCTCCTCATTGGGTAATGGAGATAATTAACATGCGCGGGCTAATTAGCCAATCAAATTAAATACAGCACCTGCTCCCAGCCTGATTGACGCCCTCACCCCACACACACACACATGCACCCCCACGCCAGCCGAGGGCAGGGGATGGCCTTAGGCTTGGCAGGGGAAGGGTCTGAGCTCCTCCTCTTCTCCCGAAGAGGTCAGGTTGGAGGTGACATATTAGAGGCACTGGCCTAGTGACCAGAATGACCATCCTCCCCTCTTCCCTCCCCTGCTGGGGTCTCAGTATCAGTCCAGTCTAGCCTAGCCTCTGTCTGCCTTTCTCCTAGCCCCCACCCCTACCTCCAGACCTATTTTGGGGAGGGAATTAATTAGCTATTGATTTCCACTGGCAGAGGGAATAGATTTCATGCTGCTGTCCACTCACCCCAAGCTCAAGAAGGGGGGAGTCCTTCCTCTACCCCACCCTCCAACCCAGTCTTCCCACCCTGTTATTCCCATCATCCCCTCTAGGGAGATGACAGAGGGTTTTTTTTGAAAAAGTCAGGGGGTGGGGCCAGTAAGTGGTGGTTGGGGGCACTGGACACTCCCACGTGGCAGACCATGGTTCGAGTCCTGGACCTGGCAGCTTGCTTTCTCACTTTCCCTCTCTCTGTCTCTCTCGCTCTGTCCCTCTCTGGTCAAATTAAAATAAATACAATTAAATGAAATGATTCTTAAAAAATACCAGAAAAGTCAGGGGGCAGAGTCTCCCTCCATTCAGGAAGCTGCATGAAGACAGAGAAAGAGAAGGATGGTGGGAAGGCCTCCAGAACAGGGAGGCAGACACCTGGGTCCTGAGGACCAAAGCAGGAGGGGTGTGCCAAGTGGGCGAGAGTCCAGCAGGGGCTGACTCTGCTGCCTGTGTGTGTGTGGAGGGTGGGGATGTGGTGTGTGCAGGCATGTGTCTGTGAGCTGGCTGTGGGGGCAGAGGCTAGGCAGATGCGGTGCCTCTGGGAGGGGCCAGGGCAGGGTCTGGGCCTGCGGCCCCTCAAGACTCATTACTCATTCTCCCCACAGCCCGCAGCTCTGCAGCACAGGCCAGCCTGGCTCAGTGCCGGGGGCACAGGGGCTGCAGGGCTGGCCAGGAGGAAGCCCTAGCCCTCCCTGAGTCCTCTCTCCAGGGACCCACACACCCCTGGGATGGCTCTAGGCTTGTGAGGTAGAGATAGCCCCAAGAGGAGTGTGAGCTAAGCAGACACCTGGGTCCTTTCCACCCAGCCCGCCCCCCAGTGCCCAGGGAACATGCTGCTCTTCGTTGCTCCTTTCCCTCCCTTCAGCCTCTCCCACCCCAGGACCAGGCTCCTGCTGATGCAGTGTCCAGCCCAACCCACCCCTTCTCCCAGAGCAAGGGGGTCCCTGCTGGTCTATGGTGCTCTAGCCTTCCTCTATTCCTGCCACTCGACTCTCTGGTCTCAGCAGAAGCCCATATCTCCAGAGATCGCCTCCCAACCGGCCGCCTCACACAACCACACACACAGCATCTCACAACCACGCAAGTAAACGGTGTCCCCCAGAGTGTGCGAGGCAAGGGCCCCTTCCCCATGCTCATGCAATGCAGTATAAACTCCCCCTGTGCCAGTGTCTAGGCACTGCCCCCAAGACTCACTCTTCTCCAGGGCCCACAGCCAGCACAGGGACACTGGCCGGAGAAGCCCTGGGGTCCCCTGCCTGCTCACTGACGTCAGCTTAGTGCACACTGCCAGCCACTGCTGGCCCAGAGCCACCACCCCTCTGGGGAGCCGACCTCTCCCTGTAAGCCTGGGATCCTGCATCTAGTCGGCTCCCTAGTGTCTTCTGCCCACAAGTGGACTCTGCAGCTTTGGGTCAATGGTGACCCGAGCTCCCCAGGGAGGACCAGGCTGCCATCAGGACCTCTACGTGCAGCCTCCCTCACCTCACCAGTCCTCCTAAGCCAGACACCTCCTCATCTTCCCACAGCCAAGCCAGTACCACGGGAGCATCTGGGCTGCAACTTTTGGGCTCTGCACTCCGTGTCAAACACCAGGCTGGACTCCCTATTTATCTTATTTAGTCCTCTGGGATCTAGGAGGTAGTTTTGTCACCCAGGCTTACGGTCAAGGAAACCTAGCTTAGAACAATGAATTCTCTTGCCCACGGTCAGAGTGCAGGGAAAGGGTCTGCAGGCCCCAAAGGTCATGGCCTCTCTTCTGCCCTGCACTGAACAGGTCTCAGGGCAGTGTCCGAGGATCAGAGCCCACCCCTCTCTGATCACGCCTTCACAGGGGACTCCACCCTCTACAGGCACCCCAGACTCTGAGCTGGCTCCCAGGCCTGAACAACGGGCCGTGGAGCTCACTGACTTCACCCCTCTCATTTTTTTTCTGAGGCAGAAAACCCCAGAGAGGACCTGTGACTGGCTCAGGGTCACACAGAAGAGAAAGACGAGACCCATGGTCACTGGCTTTCCATTCCGTTCCTGCTGTTCCTGCTGGGCCTTCCCGCCTGACCAAAGGCCTCAGCCCCCACACCACCAGTGCAAATTGAGCAACTGGATGCAAATTCTGTGAGGCAGTCTGCGCCCACCCTGGCAGAGCTCCT